TCTCTCCCTGCACCGTTTACCAGGGCACCGACTATCGCAGAAACAAAAACTAGTAGCTAATAGTTTGCTAAAACTTACATTAATTTATCACACAATTTGGCTAATCTGCTTTGGGAACGCTCCGGTCATAAAAAGTTTGAAAAAACAAAATTTTGGCACTTTTATACTTACATACATTTCCTACCTTTATCGATGTGCTATCGAAATTTGTATGGTATCAAATATTGCATTTCAAGTTCGAGATTTAGGAAAGACGTTCCTACAACAATCATGACTGAATTTATAGAAGTCCGTTCCTCCTATTTGTTCTTTTGAAATACAACCCCGATCGATGGAATCTCACGCTTAAGGTGGTGGGTGCAGATACGTTTCGTGGCGAATTGAAATAGTTTTTGCTTGCTTTTGTTTATCAGTTTTCCTTTTGAACTAAAAGCATTTCAAAATTCCTTTTAGAAGTAAAGCGCTTTTTTGTCCTGACAAAAATCTTAAATGAAATTGAATTCCTCTAAAATAACTATTTAAAAGAATTTTTCATTAATTTTTGAAAATTTTCAAAATCATATACAACCCTACTCAAGCAAAAATCATCCAAAGAAACAGAAAAAAAAACAAGAAAATTTAAATTTAATTTTTCTACTGAAATTTATGTAAATTTGCAATAATTCACCCAAACACTCTGCGCTCTGACAATGTGTGCGAAACTAATGCGAATGAATGCCTTTCTATAAATGCATATGTAAATGTTCAACTCTCAATCAATCATCATTAAATTATTATTGTGTGCTACTGAAAACGCTATCAAATATGCCGCGCGAGGGCTTAACAAACAATAAATTTGTATAATAATAATAATAACAATACTTCGCTTACACTCCTATGAATATGGATTATCGGTGTTAGGCGTATAAACGCTAATCACTGATCATAATCAACTTCATAATTATCATTATCATCACTATCATCATTATTGTGTTCGTTTAATTATTGAAATCAAATTATACTTAAATTTAAATAAATGTTAAATTTAAAAAAAAAAAAAATACAAAAAATGAAAATTATAAAATATTTTCACTGACCTTTTTATTGAAATGTTTGCATTTCAATTAATTCTCATATCTTTACATTGATTCTAACGCGCATATTCGTGCATTTGTACCTTGTGTTCTATGGACATATGCGAACGGCTATTCTTGTGTGTATGTGTGCGTGTGTTGTGTGCGTGGATGTGTACGCGTGTGTTGTGTGCGTGGATGTGTACGCTTCCGTACATGCGTGCGCCTTTCTGCTCATCAACGCGACCACCTGTCCACTTTATTGTAATTGTGTCTCAATTCTTTGCATACTTTTATGCGCGCAATTAAAAAATTTGCCAAAACTTTCAAATAAATCGAAAAACCGAACTAAAAATTAAAACAAAATCTAAATGAAAATTCGTGGCTGCTTAAAAATAACAACAACAACAACGATGACAATGATCTAAAATTAAATTGAATTAAACGAAAATGCAACAACATAAAAACCATCTGCAACAACCCCTATCATTCTCGCACTTTCTTCCTATTCGCAATATGTGCCACACTCATTTATTCATTCATATGTGCATACAAACCATTATGTATCAACGTTGCAATTGGAATTTAATCATAATACTGCCGCTCGTATCGAAATCAAATCAATAAAAAAAATCGAACTAATGCCTTGAAAAAAATTGAAACGAAATTCAATAAAAAACCATTGTAAGTAATTTTTAGCGCCCGTAGAATGCTTTATTTTTTGTTTTATTTCATTTTTTAGTTTCAATGTTATTTCAATGTTTTTTCCTTTAAAGTTAATTTATATATATACATATATATAATAAAATGATCTTTGCTGTGACCTTTGAACTTATCAGAAAATTGCAATGCGATGGCATGCAGGGTCAACATTAATGTGTAACGTTAAAAAATTTCTTACTTTAATTTACGTGACGCATGTCATACCATCATAAATAAGGTTAAGTGTTGAGAACATTTTTTTCCCCGCTGCCGAGAAGATCTTTTCGTCTTCGATCCAATACACTTCTGATATCACGACAGGTCGTTACATTTCTGTCTTTAATGAAGACTGACGTGAAAGGCGCTTAAAGTCATTCTTCATTTTGTCCTACAAATAACACCGTTACCCTAAGGCTTCACCCTTCTTTTGTATCACGTCGAAAAAATTTGTTTTCTTTGAGCTTCACTACCGTTTAATTATTCTTGTTTAATTATGCTAATCCAACGCTAGTTTATGAGGACAAATTCATTTTTCTTTTCTCTTTATCGGGTCTCTCGCATTTCGTCAAGTTTGCACATTATATTTTCTTGTCTTCAACTCTACGATATAATTGAATTGATAATAATGAACGTTGGACGCGGTTTTGATTGGTAATTTTAGACTTGGTTACCCACACATTTGGTTACGCACACAAAATATTAAGAGAATAAGTAGTTAGTTATGAGTTTGAAAACATCAACGACGATAATATTAGTCAGTTGAAAGAGCATACCCTATATGTTGTACACAACGCTGGTATTAAATGCAGCTGATTATGAAGTTGTCATACCCAGAAGTAAAAATTCGATTATCCATTCCGCACTAAAGGAACGCAAGAGCATCTTCCGTTTAAAGAGCAACTTTACCCCGGGTCTGGCTAAGAACGTTAAAATCCAGATGAAATCTATCGTAGCAAATCTTATTGATTATAAAAAAAAAACATTTATATCTCCTTTTATATCTCTGTCCGTTAGCGTTATCATTATTTCTTATAACTTATTTCAATGAATTTCTCTTTCATATTTATTGGCACTTGAAAGAAGTTTTTGGTCGCATTTTATATGTTTGATAAATATTTAAATGATATGCAAAAACGTAGACAGAGCCGCAATGCACTTACCATGCAATACGCATCAAGGACACTATCAGCTATTTGATTCCCCCTCAAGAGTTTGAGTGAATTTAATAATGCACGTTCGTTCACAAGGTCATTTTTTTGAAAATTGTTGTAGTTTCTAAGGAAAAGTCACATTTCGAAGAAACAATACTAATCGTAACAATAAAAAGTGAATGAAAACTAAGCTTTGGGGACATTTCCGCTATTAGCTGCTACTAGCATTTTGACGAAACCCCTATTCTTTATGTTAAGATGTGAGTTAGTGTTGATTAATCCAAACACATAAATCTGGACTGACACTATTTTTCACGTCTGCTGCCTATTTTTCCTTTCAAGCACTTGGAACTTGAAGGAAACGCGAACCTCACTCAACAAATCACATGTATCGATTTTAGTCGACTGACTGTCATGCAAAAATTTATTGCGTTTTTACAGAAATCTAATAACAAAGATACTTTCCCGTGGGAAATAATAAATTTATGCACAAACTGACAAATGCACTTCTTTTACATTAACGTATGCAATATTAAGAATATTTGACAATTCGACAAAACTATTTAAGTTACAATTGCTGACCGATGCAATGTGATCGCTTGTGCATTTGTGCATAGACTCTTTTCGTTTTCCTTTTTTTCGAACGAAATTAAAGATTAAATGCAGCAGCATATCACTCAAAAATGACGCTACGTAGAATCAATGATCTTAATATTGCATACACTTATGTATGTACAACTGACGTTCTTCACAATTTTGTGTATACAACTCACGTACTTAACGTTCTCTCTTCACTTTTAAAATTTCCTCTTGTGTAAATTGGTCCATTATTAAACGGGAATCCAATTAATTTCTTAGGCTTTAAAGAGTGTTTCTCAATGCTCTCGAACTAATGTCCGCATTTGGGGTATATTGTGAGTGATCACTAAGAAAAAACAAAAGATGTTTTTGTCATACTTTTTGTAAACTAGTATCAGATAGGTCATTCCGCATCAGTAGTCCAAACAAAATTCACAGACAATTTTTATACTTTCCGGTAAATAAAGTAAAGACATCCTTTCGAAAAACTTGAAAACAAAAGATAGACAAAATTGAAATTTATACGGATTTAGTATCCTTTTTAATAAACTATCGTCAAGGTAATCAGTATAAACACGCACTCAAAAGTTACTATGATTGTATCCTCATAACATGATATTCATGGATGCGTGCATCAAATAAAAATTGCTTTAAATACAAAGAAAACAATATCACACAAAGTTCTTTCTCCCCCTTAGTTAATCATAAACTTAAGGAAAAATAATTATTTACAAATATTTTATAAAACGTAGATATGTCATTTCCATAACGTGTTAATGTCATGCATTTATTTATCATGGGCCTTTAGAGTCGTGAGCATTAAATGACTTCAAACTAACTTCATTCCTACATACTTTGCTTTAAAAAATGCAATTAAGAATTTACGTTTTGCGTTGCATTTGCCAATTCATTTGTTCACGATCTCTTCACCTTACTCTCTTTTTTTTATCCCCGTCTCTCTCTCTCTCTCTCTCCCTCTCACGTTTTCTTTCACTGTCTGAATATTGTGAATCAATTTTTCGTTGTCAGTTTCTCTTCATGTTTTTAATTGTCTCATTTTCACTCCCTTCCTATTTCGAGTAAGTGTCTTTCCATTCAACCGGCTCTTCTTCTCATTATTTGCATGTGTGTTGGCTTATGCGCGAGGATACTTTCACTTCATTTCGTTATATGCGCGTAACACTTTAAAGCTTGCAATAATTATATAAATTTTATAAAATTTTCTTATTTAATTGTTATTTATATGATGGGTGTGTTTGTGAAAGTTGGCTTTTTATCTCTCTCTTGTTTTGATTTGTATGTAGTAGTATGTCTTTTGTTTATTTGTATATTCATTTATCTTTCTTTTTTTATTTTATTTATTAATTTTTCTTATTTTTTTTAATATATATGATTATTAAAATATTTTGAAATTCTATAGTTATCCCTAATCAGGACTTGATTATTAATACGATATTTTTTTTCTTGAAAAAAAAAAAAAAAAAAAAATACAATAAAAAAAAATTCAATTGCTTAGACGATGAATTGGCAGGACTTATACAAGCGGCTGAGCAAAAATCACCCGAAGATCTAACTGAAGAAGACAAAATGGCTTTATTGGGCCGTCCTAAAGCTGGTGAAACAACACGTGCGTTACTGCGCATCATTGAAAGTAAGGAGTTTAAGGTAAGTGCTTTTAAAACTGTAATATATTTACTATATTTCCAAATGATAAACCTTTTTTTTGCCATCGCCAAAATTAGAATCCTGAGTAGGAGATGTGTAAACCCCAATCTGTAATAATGTAAGAGATATAGAATAATTTTTCATTGCACTATGTATTAATAGCGTTTGCGCAAAACGCATTAATTCAGAAAAAAGCCTTTTACTAGTTGTGGATATCAATTTAAATCCGAGACGATGTATTTTCAAGAGGAGGTCAAGTTTAAAATCATGAAAATTTCTCGGGGATTAAATTCTCGAATACATACATGTATGCTCCTAATCTAAGTGCGCAGGCACAGTTAAGAAGCATAAATACTTTATATTTACTTATGAAAGTTAACTTTCGTTTGTTCGTTTTCTTCATAGTCATAAAGAATTTTGCTAAGAAGTTATTTTATTAAGTAGCGAACCAAAAAGGGTAAAACTTCTTTTTACCAGATGCAAGTCGCGCAAAAGCCTAATCCAGTCTCCAGGCGGTTTTTGTTCTCCCTTTACTTTTGAAGCGAACTCAAGAGTCTCCTTTACACCCGAATTTCCAACTAAACCCAATCCAATGCTGGCTTATAAATATTCACATAATTCTGGGGCAAAACCACCAGAACAATATTATGTCTGTGTCCAAGAAGGATTTTATTTCATGAATAACTTCTTAATTATCAACACAAAGCTATGCAATGTGTTATACAAGTGCATCCACGCGTCTCGTCTAAGTGTTGCGTTATACGACAAAATGGATGTGAACAAAAATGGGGAAAATTCATTATAATGATTACTTATAAGTGTACGTCTATGTAGACTCTATGAGGGAAACAGACACAAGTGGTATATATGCATGCATATGGTACAATCGCACAGTTATCCGTAATTGAGTATTTAGTGTTTATTGAGATATTTTACGTAAACAAACCTGGCCAGAGATAATCAAACACACACGCGCACGCACACACGATTTCATATATACACGCAACATACAACAAGTAAGAAAATTATGTTCGGTCGCGACCGAAATTTTTTATACCATCATCGTTATTCTTAGACAGATAAAAAAAGTGAAAGTGCTAATTTTTCACGCTCCGTAACAGTTTTCTCAGCAAACAGGCAAACATGTTTAGGTGCATTCTAAATTTGGAACTGGCCAAGAATTTGCAAACTTTGTGGGGTTTTTGAAGCTTGTTTCTGCGCCTTCTAAAGATATTGAAAAAGCGATTAAATTTTGATACACCACAATATTATGTAGGCGCGGCCAATGTTTTCCATTTTTGTACACAAACGCTACTGGATCGCCCACAGAATACGCGTTCAAATTTTTATACATTTCTTTGCTATAGTTTATGAGTAATGAGCCAAAAAGCAATTTTTTATTTCTTTTGAAAAACAAAGATGTTCTCAGTATACGTGGTGCTATGGACGTGTTATTTTCAACACCAACTTGCCCGCAAAAACTTCCAATGCTTCTGCCAAATTTAAGGTCGATAGCTCCATTTTTTCGGCGAGAGTTGTCTCTTTGCGACAGACGTTACGCAGACGAACGTGGTTAAATCAATTTAGAATTTGATGCTAACCAAGAATACATATACTTTCTTGCGTCTCTGATATCACCTTCTGAGCGTTGCAAACGTTTTGACAAAATGAACATACCTCTTATCCTTCTGCGATGGGCATAAAACCATGAACACTGTTTAGCTACGATGATAACGGACCGGCCGGTCAAGGATGATACAAATGCTTGTATTTGAGTTTATTTAACATAAAACATTAATGATTTTGTTGACATCATGTTCGAACAACACACGAACTTGTTTTATTGACTAATATTGTTTTGCCAGTAGTCATACAGAAAATTCCTAAGCTTATTATCAATATTGGGCATAACATTATTTCAAGCAAACGTCATGGCAATTTGATAGTCCCCAAACTTGTAGATGTTGTGCAATTTATGTGTTTTGTGTAAATATTACATTGTATTACATCTATACATCATCAAATAGATATGTATATATACATATGTATATGTACATCTGTCCTAAAAAGATTGTTTAAAAAATCTTGAGCTTTTTGGACGTTACATTTACTGCGTTATATATTATTAAACTAGACAGAAACTCTATCTTCTTCCATGAGGTGCTGTCAATATGAAAACAATGCCTAACTATTAACAATTGCATAAGTAAAGCTCAAATATTAATAATAATAATTAACTCAATTATTAATATATAAATTTCCTTAATAAAGTTTCGCCTAAAAGGGGACATAATTTTTTTTTATACCCATCACAAAAGAATCAGAAACACTAAAAGTTCCTAGTGGAAGGCTAGTGTTGGAAATGGGCCAAAACGATCGAAGAACACGCCTACAGTAATGTGTAAATTGAAGACACGCCTATTTTTTAAAAGGAATATAAATTTGGCTTTTTGCTCATTACTCATCAATTATAGCGCATAAACCTACAAAAAGTCTCACATTCTCTGAGCGAAGATGGAGTATCTCTACAAAAATGGAAAAAAACAGCAACAACTACTTACTTTTACAGAGTATCATAATTTCACTTCTTTTTCAAAACTTTTCTAACGCACGGAAGCAAAACTCAAAAACCCCAAAAAATATATAAATTCTTGGCCAGTTTCAAATCCAGAATGTACCTGATATCTGAAGATGTCTGTCCATTCATTTGTCCGTCTACGCAACTGTGTAGTATCTGCGGTAAACATTCCCCCGCTCGCAAGAATCAATATATCGCTAACAAACTTATAAAAGAATTTGAAAATGACCCAAACTTTTAAAAAAACACGCTAACACCGCCCACGTGCCTATGTAACAAAAACGGTGAATACCTTTTTTTCTGCATTTTTTGCTTGGCACTCATAAAGTTCAACACATGCCCATAGAAATTTTCAATACCAAACTGCTTGCAAGAACTTCCAATTTTAACTTTACTTTAGACTAACATAAATTATATATGTCGGTGTAAGAAAACAAAGTGTATGTATCAATTACAAAAACGTAAGTAAACTGCCGTGGGTCGTACACATGCATAAGCGTAAGCAATAATCTGCGCGAATTTCTCATACTTTAAGCTCTTCTTATGTATATAACTTTCCTATATTGCACTGTTATTTTCTTTACGTAGAATACTATAGACAAATTAGTGCAGCGAGCAAATGCATCCATGGTACTTGGTACGTCTTCGTGGAAAGAACAGTTCGTAGAGGCACTTACAGTGACATCAGGTAATGTGAACTTTATTATCATCACCAGTGTGGCGCATATAAAATAAACAAAAAAAAAACGATTATAAAAAATTAATGAAATTAAAATATCAACAGGTTTAATAAATATTTGTACATTTCAGCAGAAGATGGGGGAGAAGAAGAAGGGGAAGAGCCCACACCAACGTGTGCGAATTACGTAATGCATTTTATTACTTTATTCTGGAAAATATTATTTGCATTCGTCCCACCAACAGGTAAGGACATCAGCTAAAGTAATTTTATTTTAACAACACTGCCATACCTGGCAGCCGTAGAGAGAGGACGTAGTTTAAGAAAAAGCGATTATTTAAATAACAAATTCTAGTATATCCTAAAGGGTACAATGAATAATATCTCGCTTTCTTGCCATGTCTCGTGACTTGAACGAGCCTAACGTATATTTGATACCTAGACGCGATTAAAACGACACGATAACGGAGTGTAATGTGTAACACTTGCTTTTGCAAAACATGCTCCACTTAAAAAAGACGACCGACCGACCTATCGACCGTCAACAATCATATCGTAGCCATGACTTAATTTTAAATAAAATTATCCATAAACAAAATCTTGAACTCAACGTAAGCATAAAAAGACCAAGTTGTTTGTTTCTCGCATGCATCTCAAACGTATATAGCGTGACTGGTGGGATTAATTTTTACTTTCATTCGACTTTAAAATCATTTAATTAAAATCAATTTCAAACCGTAATGACCACACCCTATTCTTAAACGTAGCAATAAAGATTTAGATATTAAGACGGTAAAATTCTTCTCATGTAATTCTATATCCACATCGAGAAATAAAATTATACTAAGTTTATCATTCCGTTGTAGTCCGCCTATGTCTTTGGAACTTTAAAAAGTCGGAAAAACTGAAAGATGGGAGATCGAAATACATAATTACGGGAATGACGTGAGCGAAGCTTTGAATTCGAATTCAGAGACTGTCCGTACAACATATTGAATGAATTCCTAATTTTTGAAGTTCAAGAAGGCCTTTATGCCCCACCCGCAAATTGCTTCAAAATTAATAAAATATCAACATTTTTGCTTTAATAGACAGTAACTTACAGTGGTGAGTCAAAACTCCTCCCTATTCCAAAATTTTGTTCGAATATCCCTCCAGTTTTCATAAACCGCTTAATGTCACGTCTTTTGCTAAAAGAATGCAAAATTTATTTTTACTGCCGAAAGACAAGGACATCTCAATTTTTTCGGTGCGAAAACTAAAATTTATCAAATCCGCGTTCAAGTTCTGTAAACATATATAATCACATTATGATTTTTGCCGGACGTGATCCGCTCTCGAAGATGATGAACTTATTGCCACGTTAATATATTAATTTAAAACTCTGAATCAACGTTTGCAACCTCAATGCACTGCAACGGAAGTGATCCATTTAGAAACGTATTCGCACATTATTCTAACAAACTTCAGCTTACGGTTTTTAAAGTAAGGTGTATTGAAGTAGACTTTAGCACAAATATTTCCCAAAGCCATCTGAAAGGTCTATGCAAGAAAAATGATGAATTACAAACTGTCGCTCTCACAATTGACAAAGCACTTCAAAGTTTTAGTTTGAGGTGGTGGGCTTCAAAGACTCGCCTTAGGAAAAAAGCACAAACTTCTTAAGTACCTCAAGGTCTAGATTGAGTCACTGTTTATATAGTAAAAGTAATATAGCAAGGATTGATTTTCCACATTTGTTCCTACTAACGATGGGTAAAGATTTTTTAAGGACTGCAAGCAATTGACAAGTTCGGATCTTGCGCTTTTATATCCTAAGAAACTCATATCTAGATTAAAATTCCGCTCAATCGTTCATCTGTCTGGTAACTTTGCCTAAATTTGTGTTTAATCTGAAATTGATGCTATGTACGGCTGTGAGGGGCACTTGTTTCCAATAGGTCGGCGCCACTGGCTACACAACTCTGGAAAAAAGCTCTATGGAGTTATCGGATGAAACACACCTCAGGGTTACCAAACAACCTAAAAACTTTTTACATCATGCATTAATTTAAAACTTGAGAGAAACAGCTATTGGACGAACGATTTCCATCAATTCATTAATATTGTTTGCGATGACCGAAATCTAAGACGACGGTTGCTTAATATATACATTTTAGAATCTCTTCATAAGAGCTGTCATTTTCTAATTTTCTTTCGCTTTTCAATTTGTAAAACGTTATCGCTTCTTATAGAACAATGTGCGATTCAATTTTTAGTTTGCTTCTTTTTTTTTTTTTTCTATCAATATCCAGGTTTACTTTCTCAAATATTTCTGTGCGTCAGATTATCGACATTGAAATGGATCATTTAAAAGGATGATATTCAAGGTTTGGGGGGAAAAAAATTCAAATCCGTGTACATATATATTAAAATGCTCATGTCCATAATGGCTAGAAGTTTACGAAAGAAAGACAATGTAACGATTACACGCAGCTGTGTTAACGATGACATAAATATGTTAAGCCTGCTGGAATATTTTTGACTTAAATCCCAATAATTGATTGAATGTTTGATGTGCTGGCCACCAAACGAAAGAATCGAATATTCGGAAGAAAGTTCAATGACGAGCGACGCTAACGAAAAGCCGCATGTTGGGAGTACGAGTAGCTTTTAAAAGATTTCGTATAAAAATTGAGAAGCTCTATTGTGAAATTTTAAACAAGTACTTAGGATACAAATAAATATTAAATAATTTTTTTTTAGCTCAATCTTTAAGCTTACTTTTACATACTTTAACATATTACATAGAGTGGAAGTAACCTATGTATCAAAGAAAATTGTAAATCTTTTAAAATAAAAGACAATGAAAACACAATGAACGATCTCTTAGAATCATAAGAAGTGTTAACTTGACTTGTCTTCAAAAGTATTAAGACTATATTTAATGTTCTTTAAAGTTTACTTGTAAGCTTGTTTTGTCTGCATACTTTCTTCGTATCTTTGTAACATCTATAATTCTATGAGGCAAGAATACGACCTAATTCATTTTCTTTTCGTTGGACCGTTCGGCCTTCGCTTTAATTTACACAATTATCCACAAAACCCATGAAGAGACAACAAGAAAAAAGGAAAATGAGTTCCGCAAAAGTCCAGAAGGCAGTAGAGATTTTTCCTTTTTATCTTATAAGGAAAGTCCAAAGGTATCGTAGCTCGTAAAACCTGTAAAAATTGCTTTTGAATATAATCAACGCGTAGCACATTGTCTTAATTACTTTTTAGTTTACTTCATTTGGTTCATAATAATTGTGACTTTATCTTTAATAGATTTTGTTTTTTTTTTTTGTCAAATAGAATCCAATAATCACTTTCACTTGCGATAGTCTTTTAATCTTTACTCCTTCGCGCTTTTTCTCTTGCTTTTTTTTCCTTATATTCGCAGAAATTGCCGGTGGTTATTTGTGTTTTTTTGTCTCAATATGTGCCATTGGCGTTGTTACAGCCATTATCGGGGACGTAGCAGGACATTTTGGATGTACGTTGGGCATTAAAGATGCTGTCACTGCCATTTGTTTCGTTGCTCTTGGCACCAGTATACCAGGTAAGCTGAAAATATGCAAACCGTCTCAAATCCCGTTGTTAAATATGTTTCAATTTTCTTTAAAGATACTTTTGCCAGCAAAGTAGCTGCCATACAGGACAAATACGCTGATGCGAGCGTTGGCAATGTAACCGGCAGTAATGCCGTAAATGTCTTCCTAGGTATTGGAGTAGCGTGGACTGTGGCTGCTATTTACCATGAAGCGCAAGGTCAAGTATTTGCCGTGCAACCCGGAACGTGAGTAATACACTTATCCTAACCGTGCTCTGGTACCATGTGAAGAAAGATATAAATTGCAGGTTGAAATATATTTCTTATGTGATTTTGATTTCCTTCAATTAAGCATTTCTCAAGTCCCCATGAACAATTTTCGAAAACAAAATGTTTCTTCTGACCTTATTAGCAAAACTGTTGGATATATTTTGCGTTTATAAATTTGTTGCACATCTTAGAGACTTTACGCTTTTCCCTTATTGTTGCGGCTTGCATGAAAGTCTTTCCTACAATATCGCACCTGGAATGGATCTCTTTGTTCTTTTAATTTTAATTATTGAAATGTTAGGCGAAACGAATAATTTTTGAATTTTTTTGTGCGTTCTTGAATAACTGTCACACTGCCTAGTCACTTAAGCCATCCACGATCTGCAGAGGTTTTGCTAACTAAAGTTGCCATATATTTTTTGTTGCATTCTCGTTCCAACAAAATATCTGCATTGTTTAATAATATAGCCGAACCTTATTTCTAATAACTCGATGCATGTTATCGAGGTCATGAACATCGAATTATTGTGATTTATTCCAGAGGAAGGAAAAGTAGTAGTCGTTGTTGAAGCTTACATTCTAAAGAGATTCCTAACTTATATTCAGCTCATATCTGTCATTAGTTTGATACATAAGTAATATATCGCAAAGTAAAATAAAAATCTTCTATCATAGATCATTTCTATCGTCAAAGAATACTTTTTTATAATTTCGTAGTAATATCCAAATTAAAATCAATTTTACGTAGTGTGCTATAGTTATTAGTCAACAATTTGGATGAACTCTTTTCCCGACTTATTTTGTTTTCGTATTTTGTGCGGAATTTTTAAATGAAACGTATTAAAAAACAGATCGACTAACTTGATATTATAATGATGATGACTATAAACGGATCTTTGGACCGATTTAATTGATTTTAGAACTTCATTTGACAAGATCGTAAAAAAGAAATTAATATAAAATTCGAAAGTCATAATATTGGTATGAAAAGACGGGTGGACTGCGGACAGGGCTAGTCGGCTAAGCCTCCGGTATTATTAATTTCATTACATTATACTTGATGCCACTTTTTGCTGTTTGCCGTTGCGCCCGACCGGCAAAATGAAAGAAACGGTAATACCTTGAAACGCATTTAAGGCGTTATTAAGAAAATAAGAGCTAATCGCGTAGCCCTAAAGTAACACATTGGTTCGATTCGATCCGCAACCAAAGTGAATCTGCAAAGTGTGTGGGAATATTTTGAAGTTAGCGAACACATCTCGCACAAGAAACATAAGAGGACCCCGAAACAGTCAAGGATTACATATATCACTCATTACATCTGCAGTCTGACACATACCTGGCATCATCGTTGACAGATACATGCTGCAATTTCATGACACCCTGACAATTAGTTTACGCTATTAGTTTAACTTATAGTTGTTTTAGTGACGCTACTTTCGCAATTTTCGTTTGTTGATTAAACTTCGATTTTCGATGAGAAAAAATACACCTGTTAGCTTGGCGGATAATTTGACGACTCTTGTCTGGCTGGTTTGCTTTGTCAGTTGTTCCAGAAAGCACAGTAAAGTTGCGCCAAATCAGCTAACGCCTTAAAGATAACAGAAGGCAGCTATTTACAATTTTGCATGAACATTTGTCCATGAGAAAGCTTTGTTCGGAGTGTGGGTGTCGCGTTTGCTCATTCATAACTCAGGGCTGTTTGGCGCTACTTATGCGAAATAAGAAGAGTTTTTCCAAGGATGCGTGAGAACAGATGAAACACGATTCATCTCCAGAGTCAAATCGGTAATCAGACGAGTGGTCGAAATGTCGTAAAATTTTGAAGTCTAGTAATATCCAAAAATCTTATGAATCCACCAAAAGAGTCCTGCGTCAGACCGGAGAACTATTGAGTGATGTGCTAGAAAAATGGTACCAAAGCAGTGCTAAAATATAAAGCTGTTTAAATTAAATTTAAGAATACTTTTTTTTTTTTTTTGCTTAGTTTGGCATTTTCCGTGACGTTGTTCTGTTCGGAAGCCTTTATAGCGATTTTAATATTAATGCTAAGACGAAGTAAATCAGTTGGTGCTGAATTGGGCGGCCCGGTAACGATTAAGTACATTAGCGGTTTCTTTTTGTTTAGTCTATGGCTTATCTACATAATTGTGAGCAGTTTGGAAGCTTATGGAATCATTAAAGGATTTTAAATAATAAAAAACACAAAAAAAAAGAAAAAAACTCAACGAAACAGTTAAGCAACTAATTAAAACGGCACTGTATGAAAACTACCACAAACATAAGTTAAATGAAAATTTAGTAAATTAATTAAAATTAATGTAGAAGAAGAAGCAAAGAAGTTAAATAACTTTTTTATTTATAAGAGCATCCAATTAATCAACAGTTAAATAAGAGCGTTCGTTCATCCATCAGACAAAAAAGTCAAACGAGTGAATTATTCAGTCAGTCGGTTAGTTAGAAAATTATAATAGCTTAGCCAAAAATTAAATAAAACATAATTTTTAATTAAACTTAAATTAATTAAATTATTATGCAGAAAACTAAATGCAAAATCAAAACTCAACCATACTTAAAAGGTATTTATTAGTTTTTTTATAACGGAAAAAAAAGTAGGAACTTCCTTAACATCATATATTTTGTCAATCCGAACTCGAGATCAGTGAAACAGAAAAATATATATACATATGGCAGAAAAAAAGAATTGAACAGATGATTAACTAAAGGAAAATTCAATTCTTTCTTTTTCTCAATGCTCATGAATTCCGTGTTTACTTTAAAAAAGAAAGAGACAAAAGAACTTAAAAAGATGTATTATTAAATGTAATTGAAAAACAAAAAATTGTTAAAGAGAAAAGAAAGCCGAAAATCAATGAGGTTAAACAACAAAACAAACAACGTAAAAGGAAAAAACCAGAATTTGTATATGTTTATAAAATAAACAGCAAAGCAGAATAAAAAGTAAATAGCAAAAACAGAAAACAAAAAGAAAATATAAAAACAAACAAACTTATCCTATAAATATATGTATGTATATTGTAATTATTTTATAAGTAATAGAAAAAAGATAATATACGATTTTTTTTGTTTTCGTTTACATTTTCTTATTTACTCATAAAAATTTCGTTTTATTTTTTAAGTATAATGTAAATCAAACAAAAACGCTTTTAATGCTCTGTCTTGCTGTGTAGATAAACAAAAACGAATCCATTGGGAAAACAGAACACAATATATACAATTATTGTTAATTTGATTTACTCTTCAGTTCTTAGTATGACGTTCAATTGATGTTGTTTTTCTGTTAATGTTTAAGAATTCCTTTTGTTAATAAAATTCTTTAGAAAAAATAATAATTATAATATTTTCTATTTATTTCAGAGAAACTCATCCTTTCGCTTTACATAATAAGCTTTTTATTCTTAAAATAATTTTCAAACTCACAAGTTACACGCATTCATTTCAGACATTTTTAAATTATAATTACAGACTTTCTATTCATCGCCCAAAAGGCTTTAATAAACGGAGCTTTTAACTTTTATTACTCAGTCATGCCTTTTACCGGTGAATATTTCTCGAAAGAAGATGGGCATGCATAGCGTGACAGCAGACGATCATAAGAATTACGCTTTTATTTATTTAAGATGGAAAAAAATACTTCTTAACAATTCTCACAATTCCTGTAAGTATCAACGCGAACTTACACGAAAAAATTCCAATTGATAATGGCGCATAATCAATAACATTGTATAGTCATGAAAACGTTTTTGTATATGTGTAATAATAAGCTCTAGTCGTTCCAAAATTATGGATAAGCATGATAAGCTAATATTCAATGATTCAGTTAAGAGGCACTTCTTTGAAAAACATTTTGCCACGAAATCATTCCATAAATTTGTCGCTGTCTGAGAAAGAAATGCTTTAGATTTGCGCCATTATCAATTCGTTTATATAGATCGGCAGGTGTTATGCTACGTACATTAGAGAAGGCAATCCTATAAATGCAAGAAAACAAAAGCGAACAGAAGATAAGGTAAAGAATGCTTCGTTTCAGTTTAAAACGGAGAGGAATTTTTTTATTTCGTTCTTATAGATTCAATTTGATTTTAGTTAAATGTTGTTTATTTTTTGTTATGATTACGATCGCGAACAATGAAATTTAAAACTAAAACACCAATATATTGCTTTTTAATTTATTATTATACACATTATAGAAATGTTTCAAACATTATACAAATCTGTAGATACAAGTATTATTAAGTATAACAAAATTATTAAGAAATTGTTGTTTAGTATTGAAATATTTTTATTCATGTTATGAAAAAGGAAAAAGAAAAGACAATTTATTTAACTGTCTTTATACATATAAGTATATCCGATTTATTTTATAATTCATTTAAGAAAAATTTTTAATTACTTTATAGAAAATCTGAAAAGAAGTTGTTTATTGCAAAAATTTGTTCATTTTCTTTTTTTTTTATACGAAAGTAATGTGCTACGCTGTAAAATTAGTTTTAGATTGATTTTAATTACGTTTGAAAAATTTATTACATATTGGTACATGCGGAGAAAAGCCTTACGAGTTGTTCAAATAACGCTTAATCAATACGATATAGTCTGAAACTTGATTTAATTTACACTTCAATCAAATTTTCTTACATCGGTGATTAACGATGAAAAAAAACAATTTTTTTTCTTCTTCATTTAATGCAGTACTCCCTCAAGTCGAAACTCGAAAGCTTCGCAATGATGCACCTTTATAACATGCTATTCAAATTTAACTTCTAATTTAATATGTAACCTCTACCACTGCTCAATCGAGTATTTATTGTTTTTGTTAGTATAAGAAATTTGAGTTCGATTATGTTAAAGTAAGGAAAATTTCGTGACTGATCAACCGTTATATGCATCATCCTTTACATCAAATTTGATCTGAACCATTTACTCGATTAATTAATAAAACTTATTACGTTCTCTCTATGAATAATAATTCATAGAATCTATAAAAGATTTTTCCGAAGGTGGTAACTAGCGTTATTTCTTTATTTTTTTCGTTTACGCGTTAACGTTAGAAAATTAAAAAGCAGTACATTTTTTCAATTTAATTCTAAATTGAATATCGTTTCCATTAAACGATCGGGACCAAACATCAAGGGAAGGTCCCGTTAAAATCTTGAATTCTAATTTGGTCTGAAGATAAAATTTAAACATTTTTTTGGCAATATTATTAGGAAGAATCGAGAAGTGCGAAGAAAGGATGACTAACAGAAAGATAGACGAACGAAAGTGATAAATCGATTCTAAATCTCCAGCTCATCAAAAATATATATCGTAATAGAATTTTGACGAGTATTTCCAGTCATTACAAACGGAACGATAATTTTATTCTGCAATAAACCAATCCAATCCTGTACAATCCAATGGGCCATATCGGATCTGCGGTATTAGAAGAGTGTATACTAGGTTATTTGTCATTTGTTATGTACAAATCGCGCAATATTTGTCAACCAGCTCGAGTACTCCTTTTCCAATTTGTATTCTCATGTCAATGCAATATATGTAATAAAATAATAAACGGTCAACATTTCTGTAACTTTTTGCCAGGCTAATATGAATCGAATTCGTTACTGACTCTCTTCTTATTGTTGAAGACTTGGCATGATCTAAAAGTTTAGTATTAGGAAGTTTTTTGACAGTCAAGCAAGCCAAGGCCACATTTAGAAACTTATTGAGCCCCATTCTTTAATACGTATCAATATTTGAATAATGACCACGTTACAATGCGCCATACAAATTTGCTAAATTATACTTGCAAAAAACATGCTTAAGGCTTAAGAAGGATGTAAAACTGCTTACATTTAAGGATCGTTTAAGAGGATATAGAAGTACTGAAGTATCTAGGGAATTATTTGAAAAATACGGATATAGCGCAACCGTAATAATACTGTTTTTGACTTGCAACAAGAATTGCATTTTGTCGAGCTTTTCAATAAGAATTTAATGAATATATTAACATAGTAACATATTAGAAATAAATGTACCTCCTTCTTTTTTCTCGTTTGGGAACTGCATTTCTCACGCTTGAACAGAATCATATCGTTGCAATTTATTGAAAGCAATTCCGTGCTCTCTCCAATCCCCACATATAATTTTTTTTTTGTAAACCATGTAAAGGAAAAAACCAGCCGAAAAATCAAAACTATTTTACAAGTAGAGAATGAGCCTATCGCCAATTCAATCGTTTGACGTATTCCGGGATGTGGACCCATCTGCGTACAATGTATTACCAGAACTAATGCTGAAACCAATCTTTTGCTGTTTTCCTCGAATATTTTCTCAGGCAAAATACCTTCGCAATTTTCTTTCCCTTTTTTTTTACTACGCAAAAGAAAAAAAATTAACAAAAATGATAACGAGGAGCAAAATTTCAGTCTTGGATAACCCACCGCCAGAACTCAAAATATGAAAATTGCAAAACTTTTGCTCTTAACTATTAACCAGGCGGAGGCAATTTTCGCACTTAACTTTCAAACGGAAGCATGTAAATATTTCTACAATTTTTTCTGGCTATATCGATTTAAAACAACGAAGCTATGAAATTTTCATTTTATTTTGATTTCTTTCAGCTACAAAAACCAGAAAGATTTTCAAATGGAGGTTTTTGCTTTATCTGCGTATTACTTGTCAAAATAACGGCTAAAAGGGAAACCTTTGATCTATGGCGGGCATAAATATGGCTTTGTCTAAATAACAACTTGAAATAAAATCTAAGACAAACGGACTTTCTAGAGTAGAAACATTTGAAAATTGTAAATAGTGTACTTTACTACTCCTATATATACATGCAAAAAAATATTTTTAACAATTTTGTGAACGTTTTTTTTGCTCTTTTTTACATGAAATATATATTTCTTACGTCTATTTCGATGATATTTAAAATAAAATAATAATGATAATAACAAAAAGAAAAATCCTATTTACGCGTAGTATGATTACTTCACAAAATTAAACGTCACGTCCTTAACAATATAGATGATAAACAATAATAATTAATATTTTATGCGCAATTTAACTAAATGTATTCAGTTGTTAGTGCTTTAAGTCTAAATTTTGTTCTCATTTAATTAAATATTTTTTAGTAATTGTTTGAAATTTAATGCATGTGTTAATGCATATAGACTATGGAAGTAACTTCAAAAACAATAAAAGAAATTGTTAAGCATATTAATGTAATAAAATAATAATAATGAAAAGGTTCTCCAAAGAATGGTGCACATGTAAGTAACGAAAACAAGTTTCCACACACATTTTTTGGTC